TCCCAAAAGGAAAAATAAACTAATGGAATAAACTCTAACTAGGATGACCTAAGGGGTTTATGTTAGTCTAGGTATGGGTATGAGACTCTACCGCATTGCACTAGTTTGCCTTGAAGGAAGGCTTAGGATGGTGTTCTTATATATGTATGTATATTCTTATAAATGTGATATTTATATAATGATCTTATATGTTGATGATACTATATGATGTTGGTTTCACCTATAACATGTGGTTGGTCTTGTGATTGAAGTACATGGTCTTGTCTTAATGAATAGTCTTATTGATTGGTATTGTTTCTTGAAAGTGTGCATAAGGCTTTTCAAAGTAAATTGCATATTTTTATTGAAAGGTCACTCTTTAGCATGGTTTTATGTTGTGTGTGCATATGGTCTTATAGTAGTATAAGTGATGTGCTAACCCCATTTTCTCCCTTTTCCCTCAACATTTTAGGTTTCGATAGTTGAAGGCCTGTGACGACTTTTGAAGGAAGGTTGGATTCTCATTCTCCAAATTGGGTAGGTCCTCTCTACTTCGAGGACAATGTCACTTTCTAGCATTGGATGTTGATTAGTCTTAAAGAAAATATGTTCATTTCCTTTCATTTGAGTACTAAAGATTGTATAGCCTATATGTGGCTTTTATCGCATTCATGTATGGGTTATGCCCAATTGTTATACTCTTGTTTAGATGGTTATGAGATGAGACATTCGGTTTTAAGACTATGTTATACTCTTGTTTAGATGGTTATGAGATTGTATATCCTATATGTGGCTTTTATCGCATTCATGTATGGGCTATGACCAATATGTGAAGTACAAGATTAAGTAATCTTCTTATATGAAGGGTCTATGTATATTCAATACGAATATATATTATGTTTATGCGAGAGGTATATGTAAACCTCATGATAGATAGAAGAAAGGATGTATTTTAACCTCATGTAGTCTAGTCCTAGTCCTCGATGAGGACGACACCGACACCGATTATGTCTAGGGGTGCTCCCCCGAGGTGGAAAACTTGGTATCGGAGCATGAGGTTGAATATCTTTGGAGTTGATGTCTCACTTAACCATGTCTATGTAAATTCTTATTCATAATTGTGAAGCGTGCGACACTTATGAATAGAAAACTATATGATGCTTAGGAAATTCTCCTTTCACAGAAATCCAATGTCGTGCCTCTAGACTCTTGACTTATGTGCCCTTATCATCTAATCCTTTTATTGTGATTATAGGAAATGAATACTCGAAGAATAGCCGCTCGAAGACTTGATGAAGAGATTGCCAAGGCGGGAGTTCCTCCCCGAGGCAATCAAGTCCCTCCACTTGAAGAAGTTTCTAATGATGACCAAGCTCCTGTCAATCCTCAACCTTTGATAGATGGGGGCATAAGGGTAGCCTTTCTCCAAATGGCTCAAGACATTACTACCCAAGCACAAGCTGTCACTACTCAAGAACACGCCACGACGGCCCGAGCTAACCGGGAGGTTGTACCCCAAGCAAACCAATATGTTGGCACTATGGCCTCCCATTTAAGGGAATTCACAAGGATTAATCTCCCTACTTTCTATGGGTCAAAAGTTGAGGAATACCCCCAAGAGCTCATTGATGAGATCAACAAGATTCTCTATTAGTAAGAAGGTCGAGTTAGCCACTTACCAACTCAAAGATGTGGCCCAAACTTGGTACGTCCAATGGAGAGAAAATAGGCCTTTAAGAGGTGGAATGCTGACATGGGAGATCTTCAAGAAGGCTTTTTTAGATAGGTTCTTTCCTACGGAGAAGAGGGAAGACACATCGGAGGAATTTATCAACCTTCATCAAGGAGATATGAGTGTACTTGAATACTTTTTGAAATTCACTAAAGTAGTCAAAGTATGCTCCTTCTTTGGTTTCCGATCCTAAGGGTGAAATGAGCTGCTTTGTGATGGGGGTGTTGGATGAATTGAAGGAAGAATCTTGTTCGGTTATGCTACATGACAATATGAATATTTCTCGTCTCATGGTTCATGCTCACCAAGTGGAATAGACAAGGGTTAAGAAGAGGTCTTCTAATCAAGTTCCTTGCAAATTTCCCAAGTCTCATGATGATAGGGTGTCTAACCCTAAGTCTCAAAAGGGAAGAGGTACTAGCTCACCAAGCAAGAAGCCAACTTGTGGAAAGTGTGGCAAGAAGTACTATGGTGAGTGCCTTACTGGGATGGACAATTGCTTTGGGTGTGGCAAGAATAGCCACAAGGTTAGGGATTTCCCAAATTTAAAGGGGCAAGACAAGGGTAGTGGAAAAGATCAAGCTAGTGGTTTTAATGTGGATCCTCCAAAGAAGAATTGCTTTTATGCACTTTGCTCTAGGGGTGAACAAGAGAGTTCTCCCGATGTGGCGACCGGTATATTACAATTCTTCTCTATTAATGTATATGCTTACTTGATCCGGGTGATACATTATCTTTTACTACTCCTTAGATAGCTTAAAGTTTGATATTTTGCCCGATATTCTAAATGAACCTTTCATGGTAAATACTACGGTAGGTGAGTCGGTGGTTTCTAAGAGGGTATATAGAAATTGTCCTATCATGTTGCCCAATAGAGTTACTCATGTTGAATTAGTAGAACTTGATATCGTTGATTTTGATGTCATTTTGGGGATGGATTGGTTGCATGATCGTTTTGCTTCCATTGATTGTAGGACTAGAATTGTCAAGTTCAATTTTCCAAATGAACCCGTTTTAGAGTGGAGGGGGGACTTCTATTCCTAGAGGTCGTATTATCTCTTTTCTTAAGGCTAGTAAAATGATCTCAAATGGGTGTCTATATCACATTGTAAGAGTCAAAGATTTAGATTCTGAAAAACCTTCCATTTAGTTAGTCCCCGTTGTAAATGAATTTCCGAATGTCTTTTCTAATGATCTTCCTAGAATACCTCCAAAACGGGAAATTGATTTTGGTATTGACTTGTTACCGGATACCAATCCCATATCAATTCCTCCTAATCGGATGACTCTGGTCGAATCGAAAGAGTTGAAAGCTCAACTCAAAGATTTACTAGACAAAGGCTTTATTAGACCTAGTATTTCTCCATGGGGTGCTCTGATTTTGTTTGTGAAGAAGAAGGATGGTTCCCTTAGAATATGTATCGATTATCGCCAACTCAATAAAGTCATTATTAAGAACAAGTATCCTCTCCCTTGGATTGACAACTTGTTTGATCAACTCCAAGGGGAAAGATACTTTTCTTAAATTAACTTGAGCTCTTATCACCAACTTAGGGTGAGAGGTGAGGATATACCAAAAATGGCATTTCGGACAAGATATGGTCACTATGAGTTCTAAGTAATGTTCTTTGGTCTCATTAATGCCCGACAACATTTATGAACCTCATAAATAGGGTCTTTTGAAATTACCTAGATTTATTTGTCATTGTCTTCATTGACGACATATTGGTATATTCAAAAAATGAGAGTGAACACATGGATCACTTGAAGGTAGTGTTACAAGTGCTTAAGGAGAATTGACTATTTTCCAAGTATAGGAAGTGTGAGTTTGTTTGAGGTCGGTGGCGTTTCTTGGTCATATCATCTCTAGTGATGGAGTTGAGGTTGATCTAAGAAAAAATAAGGCGGTGAAAAATTTGCCTAGACCATTGACTCCAACTGAAATTAGGAGTTTGTTGGGTCTAGCGGGTTACTATAGGAGGTCTGTGGATGGTTTTGTTTCCATTGCATCTCCCTTGACTACTTTGACCCAAAAGAGTGAAGTTTGAATGGTCGGAAGCATGTGAAAGAAGCTTCTAAATCTTGAAGGATATCGGAGGGTACCAAGGGCTTCGTTGTGTATCGTGATGCATCCCGAGTAAGCTTGGGGTGTGTACTTATGTAACATGGGAAAGTAGTAGCCTATCCCTCTAGACCTATCCAACTCATAATCTTGAGTTAGTGGCTGTGGTATTTGCCTTGAATATATGGAGGCGTTATTTGTATTGAGTCCATATTGATGTGTATGCCGACCACAAGAGTCTTCAATACGTGTTTACTCAAAAGGAGTTAAATCTCCGACTAAGAAGGTGGTTGAAATTATTAAAAGAGCACGACATGAGTGTTCTTTACCATCCTAGCAAGGCCAATGTGGTTGCGAATGCTCTAAGTCGTATGACCATGGGTAATGTGTCTCATGTAAATGAAGCCAACAAAGATCTAGTGAAAGAGGTTCATAGGTTGGCTAGATTGGCTGTTAGTTTGGAAGATTCTCTGAATGGTGGTTTTATGGTCCATCATGACTCTGAATCATCTTTATTTGTTGAGGTGAAGTCCAAACAATACCTTGATCAATGATTAATGGAGTTGAAAAAGTCGGTGATGGGTAGGCTTAATAAGACATTCTCCTTGGGGGGGGGGGATGGTGTCTTGAGGTATCAAGGAAGGTTGTGCGGCCCCAATGTAGATGGGTTAGAGGAATCGGATTCTTGAGAAAGCTCATGGGCCCCATTACTCCATTCATCTGGGTTCTACAAAGATGTATCATGACCTTAGAGAAGTATTTTGGTGGGAAGGCCTAAAGAAGGACATAGCAGAATTTGTTGCAAATGTTCAAATTGCCAACAAGTGAAAGACGAACACCAAAAGCAGGGTGGTTTACTTCATAAAATCCAAGATCCTACTTGGAAGTGGGAAGACATCAATATGGATTTTGTGGTAGGATTGCCTCAGACACAAAAGCAATATGACTCCATATGGGTGATTGTGGATAAGTTTACCAAATCCGTTGTAACAGCCCGTCATACGCATATGCTTATTCTATTCTTGTGATACTGCTGGCCTTATAGTATAGGTAAGGGACCATGTTCCTCATATGATTTAAACAAGCCGGAAAGTGATGTATCATGCCATGCACGTTTCAGCGTGTTTACTGTAAGGTGACTCCGCCAGATGTATTTAAATTAGAGATTGTAAGGTGGTAATTGAGTTTAAATTTGAAAGTTAAGTTCTAAATTGAAGAAAAAGGATGTAATATTCATAAAATGGAATAAAATAATTCTAGCAGTTGCATCACTTACTTGAGCTATATGGATATTGTTAAAGGTCCCAAACTTGATGTACCAAATTTAGGATTATAGTAATGGACTCACTTGATGCACAAACCTATTAAAAGAAAATAAAAATCAAAGAAAGCCCAGCAGCCAAATCTGCAAGGGCCCACTATAGATAAAGCCCAAGTGAAAGCAACTTGGTGCATCACCTAGTTTGACCTTTTGAGCTTCTTGATGTGCATAAGCAGGTGTGTCACCTACTTGAACAATTAGTGGCTGAAAATGGACCCCAAAAAAGGAGGTTCTAGAGGACATTTTTGTGGTCAATAAACTTCCATATATATCCAATATGAGCAGATATTCTTCACCCAATTTAACACATAATATTGAGAATTATCTCCAGCTCTCTCTCTCTCTCTCTCTCTCTCTCTCTCTCTTTTATCTTCAAGATTAAAACAGGAGTTTTTAGGGTTCTTCAAGAAACCCTCATATCTGCAAAACAAGGCAAGTGAAAACTGGAGTTTGCTTAATTCTCGCATGGATTATTGGAAAAATATGTTTTTCATGCTCAAGTATAAATACAAAATCAAAAGAATTCAAGAAGATAATGATCACTTCCTTAGTTACAAAGAGACCTTTTTCTTGTTCTTTGGTTTAAGTATGAAGGGAACCTAAATTTCTAGAAGAATTCAAGTTATAAGGAGAAGTTGCTGAAATTGAGGTAAGGTGACTGCCCATTTTTTTGTCTTCCTTATGTATGAGTTTGAGTGAGGAATTAGGGGTGTGCTGTAATAAAGAACTCAAGAGGGTATTGAATTCAATAATTGGTTGTATGATAAAGAATATTTGGGGCTGTTCTATGTGTATTATTTTTGGTGTAGCTTGGTTGATTTTGAGGAAGGATATATAATGTATGTGTTGGTCATAGAATGAGGGTGTGGTGATACACGTTATGTTAAAGGGATAGATGGGTTCATTATCTGTCAAAGTTAGCTACTGTTTTACGAGGCTCATGGTGTAATAGCTACTAATTTTAGTTTACCATGACTTAAATTGTAGATTAAAACCGAAAAGGGGAGGCTGAATAGTGATAGTTATACTGGTCAAAGGATAAGTTATGCAAGGCTATTCGATTCTATATCCCTTTGGCATGAAATTTGATAATTGCAATTAATACTAATGAGGTGATTCTCATAAGTTCTATTCCTAGAAAAGGAAACATAGTGGCAGCGTACTATCTCCAAATAGCTAACAATATTTCCCCCTCTCCGAAGTGCATAGAACTACTTCATTATATGTTCACTATTTTATACTTGTGAAATTATTCCCGCATGTGCTAGTTTAGAAATGGTATTTGCAAAAGAAAGTCTGGCGAATCCTCCTCTTTGTTGGTTGAAGTCAATTCTGTCATTAAACTCTTAAAGTAATGTGTTGATGTGACATAGCTCCTTATGCCATTGTTATCACCTTGAAGTATTATTTTCATGTCTTCAAATATTGGTCCGTACTTCCATATCTCCAAAATGGTTATGACCACCAAAATAATATCTCAAAAGAGTTACGATTATCCAAAGAACAATGGCAAAAGAGTTATGAACTCATAAACAACAATGTCAAAGAATAAATAATCTAAGTGAAGAAATATACATAATTACGGGTGGAAGCGCAGGAGCGAAAGCCTAGCATGGGTCGATCCCAACTGGTACATAAGGGTGGCAGCTCAGGGGCGAAAGCCTAGCATGGGCGCCCTATTGTTATAGAAGGGTTGCAGCTCAAGGGAAAAAGCCTAGCATGGGCCGATCTCAAATTGTGTAATTATGAGGACCGTATCGTAGGGGTTAATATGCCTAGCTGGTCACTTGTATCACATGCCCTACAAAGATATTATAACATACATACAAGTAAAGAAAACAATGTAACTTACATGATCTCACAAGGGTAAGTAAATGTGGTCTTCTCTCCTGATCTATGCACTCATATGTTGATACTTGATTTCATTCGAGCCCTCATATTATATATGCTATATTGCCTACATATTCAGTATATTTTTCGTATTGACACCCCTCGCTGGGGACGCTGCATTTCATGCCGCAGACACATGTACTCTAGCTAGTAGACCTCCTTAGAAGGAGGATACGACATTTAGATACTTTTGATGAGCTCCAGGTTGATCTGGAGCTTTACTGAGTCTTGTGTAAATTCATTTTGGTATTGTATCATAGTTGAGGGTAAGGCGGGGCCTACTCTAGGTATTCTATCTTTTTAGAGGCTTTGTAAACGTATGTTCATGGTTCAGTTATGTCTTAAGGAGTTGTGGCCTCAACGCCAAGTCTTGTATTTAATTTTTGGGTCTACTTATGTTGGTTTTTATCGCTGCATCCTTTTTAAACTTATCACGATTGTTATAGTTATATGCATAGTAAGAACATATTTCAGGTTGGTTCTGTTGGGCCCTTAGGGCATCGGGTGCTTGTCTGTCTTAATGGGATTTGAGGCATGACATCCGCTCATTTTATTCCCGTCAAGTCTACCTATTGGGTGGAGGGTTATGCAAAGGATCTTCATAGATGAGATTGTGTGTTGCCATAGTATTTCGTTATCCATCATATTGGATTGGGGTGCACAATTACATCTAGGTTCTAGAGGTCATTCCAAAAAGGATTTGTTACCAAGGTGAAGTTAAGCACCACTTTTCATCCTCAAATGGATGGTCAAGTGAATTATACAATTCAAACCCTTAAGTATGTGATTAGAGCTTGTATTATTGAATTCAATGGAAATTGGTATAGACACTTGCCATTGGTTGAGTTTTCCTACAACAATAGTTACCATTCATCTATATCTATGGCTCCTTATGAAGCCTTGTATGGTAGGAAATGTATATATCCAATTGGAAGGTTCGAAGTGCACGATACTTCACTTTTGTATCTAAAAGTTTCGCCTATGAAAGGGGTGGTGAGATTTAAGGTTGCATACGAGTTGAGGTTACCTAGTTAATTGACTTTGGTTCATCTGGTGTTCCATGTTTTTATGCTTAAGCAGTGTATTAGTGATCCAGAGTCCATTCTTCCTATTGAAGTTCTAGGTGTTCAACAGACCTCTCTTATGAAGAGGTTACGATTCAAATCTTTGATAGATAATTGAAGAAGTTAAGAAATAAAGAGGTGGCTTCCCTAAAGGTGTTATGAAAGAATCACCTAGTTGAGGGTGCAACATAGGAGACCGAGGCTGACATGAAGTTCCGTTACCCTCATATATTTGATAACCAAGGTTAGTTGCTTTTACTATTAATAAAAATAATGATTAAACTTGACGTAGTTTTAATTTTTGGTAAGGTTTTGCAAAAATATTCATGTTACATTGAATTATAGTGAACTTATGCCTATTAACTTAAAATGTTGTTTTTACTTGTTTTGAGTTTATGTTGTGCATTTTTGTATATTGTGCCTTCATGAATTGTATTGAGCATGTTTATATGTGTTGAAGAAAGCCTTGGCATATGAATAAGCATGAAATGAATGATGAACTCTTATTATTTGAAAATATGTTTTGAGTTGCATTTGGTAAAAGGTCATGTAATTATTTTAATTTTGATTGTAACTCATGTTTTGATGTGTTGTTGTTTGTTGGGTTGCTAGTCTTGAGTCTATTCCTTCCTTTAAAATTTTTTTAGTGTCATTCAGGGACGAATGTTCCTAAGGGGTGGATAATGTAATACTCCAAAATTCTAAAGCCTAATTTAGAGCCTAACATGAGAGTCTAATAGTTGTAAAAGTAAGGTCAATTATAAGGTATTTGAGTCATTTAGGAAGTGTTAGAATCAAAACTTCATGGAACGTCCATGAAGTCTAAAAACTAGTTCAAGAGGTGCTAGCATGCCTTAGCCCATTTGACTAAGTTTTAAGAGTTGGAAAATCATGAAATTGGATGGTTAGGTGTCTAACACGTAATAGAGTTAGTTTATAGTCAAAACGTCTGCGTACGATTCCCCAAGGAACAACAAAGGGCCCTTGAGGAGGACCCTTACATTGTGGAAAAAAGCTGCCCAAAGGCAGTGCCTACCCATGAGTTGCAGGCGACGAGGCATCATTGGATCAGGGCGTCGATGCCTCCTTCGACCAACACTTAGACATTTTTTCTAATGGTCCAATTGGACCAGACTCTGACACAAACAATGAGTGTGCATGACAGAGGGGCACATGGGCGTCAAATGACCTACGACCCGTCAGTTAGGGTCTCGTAGGTTGCCCTTGTGTTACTTAATTCATCTAATTAGTTAGTTTAGTTAGGAGGTTAATTGGGGATTTGGGGGTGGTTAATTAAGTTAGTTAAGTCCCTATATAAACTACCCTAAGCCTAAACCTCACTTAACCCTCATAATTTCCCAAACCTAAATTGCTCTTCCTTCTCTCTCCCAAAGAAACCCCATTGAAGACTTATCAAGGAAGGGTTCTAGGGATTCAAAGGATAAACTTTATAAATCAAACTTCATCAATTAGTGTTGTGTGGGATTTCTTTCACCTTTGGGATCTCTTTTCCCAAAGGGCTCCTTCAAATTGAGATTTCAAAAGTATGAAATTCAAGTGGGGTTTCTTCCATTACGAAATTGATCTTGTGAATTGCTTTGTTTAAGATTTTTTTTGGTTATAATGAGTATATTAACATATATTATGGTTACATTATACTAATTCTTGATGCATTGACCTAGTTTGTGGAAAGATAACCTTTTCCCCTTAACCGTAGGTTGTTATCTTTAATTGATTGTATAGTATTGATATAATTTGCTTGGTTAGTGTGTGAATTACTATCCTATGTTGTTATCATGCTAAATTAATAAATCCCACTATGCTATTTCTTGAATAATTGACTTAGATCATGAACTTGACCTAAGTCTCTAATTCTAGGCTATGAACTAGTAATGAATTGTTGTGTAGTGATTCAATTAACTTCATTATTTTGTTGGTTACTATTATGTGATAATATTACACCCATTGTTGGATTGAATTGGAGGGTTGATGGTAAGAGCTTGATGATAAAATTGTGAAGGAGATTGGGTAAGTCTTATGATCTCTATTCTTTACTTCAATTATGATTACTTGTGATTAAGTGATGATGTTGTGTTGAAGTATACCTTATGTTAAGATTGCTATGGTTTGTATGATGTTGAATTGTAAATTCTTGAACTATGGATTGTGAGTTGTTAGCTAAGATGTAAATGTTATAAGGATGGTGATAACTACCAATGTGCCTTATCATGATGTGATTACGTAATGTGTTGACCTCACATGTATGAATTGTAATGAAAGGAAAATACTCATGAAATTTTTATTGAGCTATAATAATGATTATATAAGGCATAGACCCTATGACCTACATTAAGTTGTGATGATGAATAAAGGCATTAAAGATATTTCAAAAAGGAATCTTGCGTAGCACCGAGTGAACTAGAGTGATGAGTGTCCCTTCTCACATAAGGAAGGTAGGATCACTAATGTACTCATGAGATTGGAGACTATAATGCATGTAGCATAAGGAGGGTCCCAACTATATCTCCTAGCTCTTTAACTATGGTACCCCCATAGGAATACTAGCTAGTGTATCCACAATAGATGCTATGTACATGTTTTGGTACTACTTTGACAAGTATTCTGCCTTCCTTCGGTGTAGTGTTCCATGAAATCGGATTCCACATTAGCTCATATGGTATATGTCGGTTAAGGCAAGATGTTCCAAAGAGGTAAAATGAACTAAAGGAATGAAGTCTAACTAAGATGACCTAAGGGGTTTAGCCTAGTCTAGGTAGGTGTATAGGACTCTACCTACTCATTGCACTAGTATCCTTGAGGGAAGTGTTAGGAGGATGTTCTTATAAATGTATATGCTTATAAATGTAAATGATATGTATATGATGATCTTAATGTTGATGATACTATATGATGTTGGTTTCACCTATATCGGTCTCTAATGCTAAAGTATGGTGCTTTGTACTCTTAAAGACATGTTATATGAAGTTGGACATTGTTTATGGTTCTTGTTAGGCTTACTACATTAAGTAAGGTTATGGGGATTCGCTTAGTCATTGCACTAGTATACTTAGTGAGGGTTCATGAGTTTGCTTCGGTTATAATGTTATTAAATATTTATCCACGCTTGTTGATGTTACGAATTGAGGTTAGAGTTGTATTGACTATATAATTATGTTGATATAAATGTTGGCTTGATTGGAATTAGTATGGTTGCTCTTGTGATGTACATGGTCTTGTCTTAATCAATATGTTTTATTGATTGTTATGATTTCTTGAAATGTGCACGAGGCTTTTCAAAGTAAATTGCATACTTTATTGAAAGGTCCCTGTTTAGCATGATTTTATGTTGTGTTCACATATGGTCTCATACTTAGTACAAGTAATATGCTAACCCCATTTTCTCCCTTTTCCCCCAACATTTTAGGTTCTGGCCGTTGAAGTCTTGTGACGAGTTTTGAAGGAAGGATTTGATTCTCATTTTCATGCCTTAAAACCCATTAAGACGGACAGACACCCGATGCCCTAAATGCCCGAGAGAACCAACTTGCAACCTGTTCTTACTGTGCATATAACTATAACAATTGTGGCAAGTTAACCTAGGATGCAGCGATACAAAACAACATAAGTAGGTCCAAAAGTTATATAGAAGAATTGGCCGTTGAGGCCACAACTCCTTAAGACACAACTGAACCATGTATGTACGTCTACAAAGCCTCTAAAAGATAGAAGACTAGATTAGGTTGGCACAAACTCTTCCTTACCCTTAACTACGATACAATACCGAAATGAATTTATGCAAGACTCAATAAAGCTCTGAATCAACTTGGAGCTCACCCAAAAGTAGCAGAGTTTCGTGTTCTCCTATTGAGGAGGTCTACTAGCTTGAGTACCTGTTCCTGCAACATAAAAAGCAGCGTCCCCCGCGAGAGACGTCAATACGAAAAAATGTACTGAATGTGTAAAGCAATAACATATGTAATACGAGAGCTCAAATGAAATCAAAGTAGCAACATATGAGTGCATAAATAAGGAGAGAAGACCACCTTTGCTTACTCTTATGGGATAAGGTAAGTTACATTCTTTTCTTTACTTTTCTATATGTTATAATTTTATTAATAGGGAATGTGATACAAGTGACCAACTAATCAGTGGTAGAAGAGGATGACCCATTCTAGGGGTATTAACCCGTGGAATGGGGTCCTTAGAATTACACAACTTTCAATCCGCCCATGCTAGGCCTTCGCCCCTGAGCTGCCACCCTTCTATACCAATATGAATCGACCCATGCTAGGCTTTAACTCCTGAGTTGCCACCCTTATGTACCAGTTGGGATCGACCCATGCTAAGCTTTCGCCCCTTGGCTGCCATTTGTAATTATATAGATTTTTTCACTTAGATTCTTTAATCTTTGAGATTGTTGTTTATCAGTTCATAACTCTTTTGAGATGTCATATTGGTGGTCATAATCATTTAGGAGATATGGAAGTACGTACCTGTCACGACCCAACCCGATGGGCCGTGACTAGTGCCCGTTTTGGACACCCACATACAAACCTGCTAAGTATAACCAACTGAAACTAAGACAAAATGAAATTTAATCAAATCAAGCCAACCCCAACGTCATATATATATAAAGAGGACCTGTCTCGTAAGGAGTCATAACCATTCAACCGCAACAACATACGCGAGCCGAATAAGGCTCTACTATTCAAAGCATAATAATATACGTAAGCCGACAAGGCTCCCACTACGCAATACACAATTATGTACGCAGCCGACAAGGCTGCCCTTGTACAAGCGGACATCCCAAACAAACCATGTCCAGACCATTACCCAAAACATATATATACAACCCACATAATGTCCACAGACCTCTAAGAGTACAGTAATGAAACTCGACGGGACAGGGCCCCGCCATACCCATAGACGAGCAAAAGACTACACAAAAAGTTATGTACCAAAATGACTGGGCTCCGGAACAGTGGAGCTCTCCCAATCAGCAGAGTAGATATCCTAGGCGGGAGGATCACTGAACTGTGCGTCTACA